TAAATAAATAAAAATAAAAAATAATCCATTGTATGGCTTCTTCTTACTTTATATTGTATCTAAGATTTCCAAAGGATGACTTTTCTTTGGTTAGCAAGGACCATGACCTTTTAAAGTTAGTTTTCAAGTATAAACACTCCATAATATAACTCTTAACATTGAAGAAGTATGTTCTAGCACAACAAATCTGAAACAAACTCAACAAAACTTCAACAATGTATGAGGCTAATAGTGAGGGTGCTTCACAAGCAACTGCAAGTATGTCATTAATAACCGTATGAGGCAGGAAGTCAAGGACCATCTCTAACACGATGTGCATACAGAAGCTGCTGCATGATGATGGAGAAGATGTTTGTGAGTAGATAGAAGTCCCGAATCCCTCATGCAGTAACCACTCCTGTCAATAATATTTTCTTTACATAAGCAATCGCATGCACAGTAGCAAGAGATCACGTCTACCGACAACGTGTGTCTCCCCTATGTTCTGAAAAAGTAATGGACATTCAGCACGTCGCAACTCTAAGGTTCTCAACAACCCTGGAACCCAAGACGTGCCATACAGCACACCGTACCATGTAACAGGAGCCTGTTTATATCAGTTCGTAGCAGAGAATCCAAACCACAAAGATTCACCATTTTGATGATTTGACAAGACTCACAAAGCACTCAACTTTGCAGATACGAATGTAACGTGCATTCCGTAAAATTAACATTTCCGATCATAAATTCGACCAGAGCGAATCCTCTGCCGCCAAATGACCACAATCTGATCAAGCTACTAATCCAAAGACACTTGCATTCAAACAGTCTAAATTATACTAAAGCGAACCACCTACCTACAATAAGCAACCAATCTCATCAGCATGGAAAAGAATATGCGAACTTCAACCACATTCCCATTTTACCACTAGAGCACACTCTGCTTCGTCGCACTTGGTACAACTACCCCGTCTCGCATTATTTCTACCAACAATACAAGACAATACTCTCCACAACCAAGTCGCAGCGTCCACAATTCAACAGTACCCCCAATCTGCAGCAATCGCAGAAAATCTCGCAGCAAATAACTCTTCAAAGGTACTCCACCATGACCCTAATAAGAAGCTGCAGCGCTCACCAGCAACGTAAATAAACAAGTAAAAAAAAAGTAACACTCAACATGTGATGCACTGCGAGGGTGCGGTGAATGCACACTCCTGCGGTGAAAGTTAAGAGGGAAGGAGATAAAAACTCTCGTGTAGGATGCATGGGTTTCTGGGCCATTCCGCCATAGCTAGTCTTGATTGCTGCCAAACCACCATGACTAGGAAGATGCCGACACTTAAAATCTGGTCCATCTCCGCAAATATATATATTGTGAGACCAGGCCGATATCCACACATGATACCAGTCAGGTGTCTACAAGGGAGAGCAGGGGACACCTACCCGATCGTGGCGGGTATCGTCGTGTCTAAGTCGGTGTCATTATACTGGAGCGGGTATAAAGTTTTCAGACGGGCATCTGTATGGCGGACCTGGTAGCAACGCATCGGAGCGGGTATCCCGTGCATGTGGAATTAGTCCTTATGAGCATGGAATACTATCAAACACTATGTAAATGTTTTTAGAAAGTATAGATAGTTTCATTTCTGTGCACGCAATGTGTTTAAAATTGAAAAAGAATACAAATTTTTTTTCCTGAGAAGTAAAGTAATTTTCTTGAATTTGATCAAATTAATAAAGATAAGATTTCACTAAATTCTATGTATGTATTAATATTGAATGAATAAATATCAAAATTAATAAAAAAAATAATGAGAATAATTATGTATAATGTATTATTAATATTTTCTAAATTCAAACTTACTCGTATAAAAGTGAAATATTGGTGTGAAATTATAAAATAAATGTTACACAATTCACAATGACTTTGTGTAGAAGTTACAACTTTATACTTAAAAACAATAAGTATATATAAAATGAGTATGATTTTCACAAAAAAAATTAAGAAGTACAGTCGTTCTGTACTTTAAGGTAACAATTTTTCCATCATAAGCATGTAAATTAATTTATTAATTAAACTAAATTGACAAATGGGATTTGACATACTTCTTCAAGTAATTGTTAAAAAAGTATAACTTACTTTGAACTATTTAGAATAAATTATTTTAAGTCTTAAATAATAAGTTTTAATGTCATTTTTGTAAGAATCAATATAATTTAGCATTCAATTTATTTTGAAAAAAAAAAAAAAACTCTTTACAGAATCAATCAAATAATATTATATATGATATATGTGTAAAACAATTACATCACAAAAACATAATTTTTAGTGTTTTAAAATATTGTATTTGAAAAATAAAAATAACACATCATAAACAATCGTTAAAGTTTTTGGTTTATATCAGATGGAGGTAAGTGGGTCAAGGCTAAAATACATCTTTTAGAGGATGAAACCACTCCTTAGACAATTTTGGACTATGTCTCTTTTATTTTTCTTTTAAAAAAAAAAGGAAAAAGAAAAAGAGGAGTGAAGCTTTGACTATACTTATCTTCCATTGATCTAAATACAAATTACACTTAAGTTAACTACCTAGGGCTAAATAAAATACCAAGGGGGTAATATTAATAACATGAAAACCAAAAAAGAGGAGTAAAAGAGACATAACCTAAAGTTGGCAACGGTGTTTTGTAAATTGCTGCATTAAGGGCTCACCCCCTAACATGTTGCATTATACCATTTACTAAGTGTAGTACACTTCTTCTTTAAAAAGTGCTAGGACACCAAGCCACAAGATGGACATTCAAGAATAACAAGCAAAATTGCAAAAAGCTTTGATGGTATGAAATGCAAATATAAAGAGGTTGCACTCTCTTTATTTTACAATGCTACAAATTACTTCATTTTGAATAATCAATTAGAAATAATTGATTCTAAACAAACAAAAACTAACAATAATAATAATAAGAATAAGAATAAAACTACAAAATAAAGATAAATTACTGAAGTTGTTCCAAACAGCATAGAGAGCATATCTACTGCACTTGTCTTCTCTTAAGTTATCATTTTAAAAAATGCAACACAAAGAAGATTAAAGATCATGTTTTGTACTTCTCTCTTTCTCTTCTCCATGTTTTTGAACTTGTTTGTTTGCTTGTTTTATTTGTTTATTTATTTTACTTAGTCTTTTTTTCACTAAAAAGCTATGTTTTTCTATCAAAATCATTAGTGTATTGCATTTCAAACCCAAAAGGCTTGCAACAACCTTTGGACTTCTCAGTGCCCTCTTATTTTGACATTGATTTGTCCTCATCAGTTAACTCCTTGTTTTGCAACATTTTTCATTTTGCAGTTGAGTTCCCTCTTGTGTCTCTTTCATGTGTGGGATTTGGATGTTATCATTAACACCTTCATACATATATCACTCATACATGTATATTTATCGATACATATGTTTAGTTTTCCAAAACCCCTATTGGTTTAAGTAATGTACAGTTTACAGCATAAAATAAAATATGCTCTGGATTCTCTCTCCCACTTTTTTTTTGGATTGTGTGAAGAAGCCAAACTGCTGAGTAGGGGTGGACTAGAGCTCATTTGTAGTGTGTCAATGGGTGTGTTTTATGATTCTGTCAATGTAGCTAAATTACCAAATTGGGGTTTTGCATCTACAGATAGAGATTTGGACTCTCTCTCTGCCACTTGAGGCATGGAGCTCTCAAAGATAAGTATAGGTATGTAAAGCTCTTTTTCCAGACACAGAAGAGTAAACAGAAGTCACAGTTACATTACCCCTACAATATGCCTAGTTAACCTATATTTTCAAAACATATTTCCCAGCTCTTATAAATTTACATCAGAGTGTTACTTTGTTATTTCCTAAAGAACAACAAGATATTAATTGATGGAAGAAATTCTGGGGTGGGAATGTGGGGCAAAGGCAAAGGTGGACCACCACAGCAGACACAGAAGTGCTAATAGCATGTATCTGGGAGCCATAAAACAAGAAATATTATATCTGTATGTGTGATGGTGATGAGCCACAATGAATGATAGGAAGGAGAAATGGAGGATTCTGATTGATTTCCAGCCCCCACTCCTCCCCTGTAGGCCCCCCCCCCATGTAGAGGCCCCACCAAGGCCATCACCATGCTTCTAATGACTCCCCTTGTTTTCCCCAATTTCCAGTTCACCTCTGCAAACCCTATCTTTGCAACCCCTGTTCTCCCCTTCTACACTAACCCTACGTCAAAAACTCAAAGTCTGCCCTGCCCCACAAAGTCCATGAAACAAGACCAGAGCCACCCACATGCACACTCACAGAGAAGGTGTCATTCCAGATTACAAATCTGGAAAGCTTGCAAGAACTCATTGGGAGCAGCAGGGAATTGTGGACCCCTCCCTTGATTTGTGGTATAAATGGACATGCATTCTCTGGATTTGCTTGCCCACAGGAATTGAACCCATAAATAAAGACAAAAAAAGAAAACAGAGAAACAGAAGAAGAAGATGAAAAAGAAGAAAACCCACATACATCTTAACACACATACAAAACAACAATAAACAAAAATGGCAAGAAAAGAAAAGGAGTAGGGTTTTCCACAACCATGGGTATAGTTTTCACCGCAAGGCTGCATGCTCTGACAGAGACAACAGAAGCATGTGAGAGTGCGTGAGTGAGTGAGTGAGTGAGAGAGAGAGCGGGAGTGAGAGAGCCTTGTTGGGAGATGGGCACTGGGCCATGGTGGAAGGGAAGGGAAGGGCAGCAAGCAAGCAAGCAATGCAGCAAAGTGGGGAAAGGGGAGGAAGCAAAGAAGCTGCGATCAAGGCGGACGGAATGTCCCCAGGTGAGGAGCGCAGGTGACGTTGGGCTCACGTCCCCGCGGGGGGAGAGTGAACGGAGATTCATCATGGGAATGGATGTGAAATGGGGCAAGGGACGGATTAATCCTGCTGGATGAGGAGGGGATCATACAAGAGCCTGCGCGGGGGGCCACGGCGCTTGGATTCTACCCCGGGTGTGGCCATGCGCTCTAGACTCCGCGAGGCTATAAATTGGAGGCTGCGAGTACTTGTGCTTCTCCATTGTTCGTGCCCCGCCAGTTCCTCTCTCTTATGGTTGCCATGCTTTGGCTGTGCTCCCGATCAGTTCAGCGGCAGCGAGTGGGTGAGAGTGTGAGTGAGTGAGTGAGTGAGTGCGTTGAGTCGGAAGAGGAGGAGGAAGAGGAGGAGGAAGAGGAGGAGGAAGAGGAGAGGTGTTGGGAGATTGGTGTTGGGAGGATTGTCAGGCTGGGGAAGGTTTGGGAGGCGAGAGGAGAATTGAGCTGCGAGGAGGACGAGGTGGGAGCCGTGCGGACGAAGAAGGATGGGGTGGGTGGACTTGGACTTGAATCTCCCTCCACCCCCGCCTGACCCTGACGGGTGCGAGGGCTTGCCGTCTCCTACACCGCAGCGGGAGCGAGTCTTTCTCGGGGGTGGTTCCGGGGTGGGGCAGGTCGGGCGTGAGGAGAAGGAAAGGGAGAGGGAGGGGCAGATTCTATTTGACGCGGTTGATGCTCTTACTGCTGGGGAAACCCTTAGGGTTTTTAATGGAGAGGCGGGGAAAGACGAGGTAGAGAAGAAAGGTGCGGGAGAAGAAGAGTTGAAAGTGGGGTTGGCGATGAGTAACGAGCATGGGCAGATTTTGGAGAGATTGGATGTTCCGAATGCGGTCCTTGTAGGTGCAGATGTGGATGTGCCGAACTCGACGTCGTTGCGTGAGAATAATGGGACCGACGGAAAGGCTGAAATGAGGCTTGATAGCGACGATGACGATGATGATGTAGTTTCTAGGGTACGCGTTAGAATTGAGGTTGATGCAGGGTTGGACGCGGGTGGAGCTGCTACGGAGCCTGAGAGCACTTCTGGTGGAGTAGAGGATAGTGTTGAGCAGCCTGTTGATCAGAAACCCGTTCGTAAGCGGCTGAGGACCTTGGGACAGCTGAGAAACCAAAAGATCGAGAAAAGCACTCCTGCATCGAGCCCTCTCTGGGATGATGAGAAAACGGGTTCTAGCTCCGTCCCTGCAACAGTCACACCTCAGTCTCAAGCCTCTAATCTCTCGAAAGTGGAAGGGGTGGATGGTGGTGATGGAGAGACTGCGGCTGACGGAATGAATTTGAGACGTAAGTATCCCTCAGAGACAAAATTGGAAGAGCTTGGCAGTGTTTCGGCAGCTGTTGTGCTTTCTAATCACGTTTCAACGGAAAACCTTAGTCATCAAGATGGAAAGATGCAGGTGGATGGTGAGGAAGCCTCTTCAGGGTCGAAGAAGAAGGCCGCTGGTGTGAAGGATGCAATTTCTGACAAACGTCGGCGGTCCATAGTGGTGTTGGATGGAGAAGCCCCGACGAAGAGGCCCCGACTACCCAGACATCCTTTGAAGAAAACTAGGTCATTCGGAGGGGTCATTATTGGAGAAAAATTAGAAGAAGCCGGTAAATCTTCTGCCAAAGCCTCAAACACAGAGTCTCCTCAGAGCAGCGAGTCTGGCAAAATTTCCAACAAATCGGAGAACGGGAAAGAAGTTGGGTCTTCTTTGGAAACTTCTGGTTCGGCTACAAAGGAGTTGAAGACACATGTATTGAAGGAAGATACGAGTGCTGATGACACCAACGGAGATATCGAGATGCCGCAGCAAGTTGACAAGGAGTCTGAGGTAGGTGAGGGTAGCTTAGCGTCTGAAGAAAAGCAGGGGGATAAGCCTCGCGACTCAAGTCTCAGCGTGACTGTACCTCGCAGGCCTCGGAAAATGAAGGAGATGCCTGTTCCTGCTTCTCGTGCGCCACGGAGTACAAGGCCTCCTCTAGCTGTGAAGCCCACTGAATTTATTAGGCCAACTGTAAAGAAACCGTCGACCGCAGCTCCTCTGCGTAGGCTTCCTTCAACTGGTGGTAATAGTTCCCGAACTGATTCGAGACCAGCTTTTCAGGACACTACCATTGAGAGGCTTCAGCGAGAGGCGACCTGTGGCAAATTGTGGCAATCTCCAGGTGCGTTTTTTTCTCGTATTTGGTAGCTTTTCCCCTAAGGCTTCCGGTGAATATCCTCAACAAATACCACGTCCCCTGATAACATATAACCTCAAAATTTGTCTTGTTGTACTTTTGGACCTGTCTGTGGTCGGGGCATACCTCGTCTGTCTAAATGGCCTGTGTCCTGGTCTTTGATAGATGCACTCGTGACGATTCGCCGATATTGTCACGAATAGGCTCGTCTCGCAGTGCTCTGGAAGATTTGGGATTAGTGGGGAATCTTTCTGTAAGTTTCGGTGTTAGGTGTATGATTTAATCAAAGTGCCCAACGCATTCGTCAAAGATACACTTAATTAGCGTAATCATAAAAAACCCTGGTTGAAGGTACAGTTAAAATCTACACAGACCTTAAGGACAATTCAAACTTAAGAATGACACGTTCTTCAACTATGCCTTCATGTTAAGTTTGGCTGCACAGTAGGTCTGAATTACATTTCAAAGTTAGATGATTCAGAAAGTGGGCCTAGCCAGTCATGTGGAGAATTAAGTACAGCTTTGATTGTCTTTCTGCCTCGTAACCCAAATTTGGTCTTAGCCATGGGGAGACTGTCCATTGCTTTGGTTCTTTCAGAGATTTGTGGAGTTACCTTCAGTCTATGATGTTTCTAGCAGTATCGTAAAAGTGAGCATGGTAGTTGAGCACGTGCACTAGATAGGGATCATATACCCTGATTAGGGTTTGAGTCGGTATAGTTTGACCTTTGCTTGGAATTTGACTTCTCCCTGTTCATGAAGTTGCGAGTGCACCCGTCGTGATATTTTGGATTCTTTTCACGGAAAGAGGCATCATTGCTGACTCTTTTAACCTCCTTGGGCATGGTGGAGGCGCCGTTGGTTTGCTGATGTTTATTATTTTCTGGAGTTCTTGATGAGCCTGACAGCGGATTGGTCAATACTTCACGAGACTCAGGGTGATAAATATATCTGATAACGTGTCTGAATAGTTGGAATAATAGTTCTTATCATCCCAAAATTACAAGCTTTCAATTCATTTTGGTTTGTTTAAGGTGAGGTTCGGGAAAAAGGGCCTGATGTGGGGCCATTCAGGCGCTCGGGTCGCAGGTATGCTTGAGGGTGATTTGTCTGTATCATCTCTTGCCTGTACCAATGACAGGCTGCTGCCTTGGACTGTGGCTAATGGGACTGTCAATGGCTGATTGTCAAACGTTGATGCATCATCCATGCATCTGATTGAGCACGGCCATATCTTCTGGAGCATGCAAGGCAAGGCACCTGGTGTTTTCCCTGCTAGATGTGAATGTTGGCAGATTATTGTTCTCAGACAGCTGTCAAGTAAATTCGAAGCAGAACACTTTCTGTTGTGACAAGGTTTTATGCCTGATTGAATATCCGTGATGGTTTCGGGAACCTTGTTGTTTGGACTTAATGCGGCTGTGAGCATTAGGCTTTTTTTGTTTTAAATGTCAATGATTTAAATTTTGAGGTGTTGCTCAAAAGCTACAGACCACGTCGTTCCTGCTTTGTGTTACTCCAGCTGTAAGGTTGCTGATGTTTCAATGTCAAAATGGGGTCGTTAACCCTTCTTGTTTTTAATTATCAACGTGGCCTGATATATCAACCATCTGTATACCTCAACGAGGTGCTAACTTTCTTCTTATGTCGCTGCAGGTGACGCCGACTTGCAGAAAGTTCCCGGCAATTTTTCATCCGTGGAAGATTATGCTAAAGTATTTGAACCTCTACTCTTTGAAGAGTGCCGAGCGCAGCTGCACAATGCTTGGGAAGAACTACTAGAAGGAACAACTGGTGATCCTCACGCAGCTGTCACGATAAAAATGTGTGAACGACGCGAACGAGGTACTGCATGCGACCTGCAACTTTAATTTGCGACCGTGACTGTTTTTGGGATTTGCCTTTGGTATTAAAAGCCTTGAGCGTTCTTTAACCTTTCGTTAGACTTGCTAAAACAATAGTATACTAGTGGATTCGTTCTCCTCAAAAATTGACAGTTTTTTATATTGTCAATATCTCAGGGTGGTGGGATGTAACATTGATGCCCATGGATCGCAACCGAGAACTTCGTTTCAAGGAAGGTGATGTTGCTGTTCTTTCTACGCCGAAACCTGGTTCTGGCATTAAAAGAAAAGGTCGTTTGAAGGATAGCAAATCAGAGAGCGCAGAGGAAGGGCAGATAGCAGGTCGTGTGGCAGGTATTGTGCGGCGCTACATACCAATTGATGTTCGAGATCCACCTGGTGCTGTCCTTCGATTTCACATTTCTCAAGAAGACATGAATAAAGAGGGGTAAATTCTTCTGTTCCACTTTTAGAGTCGAAAGATTCAGATCGTGGGCTTCTTGTTAGTTGTGATTGCATAATGCTTTTTACATACTTGGGACATGCAATTGTTGTTCACATGTTCAATTTGGATTGGTCTGATTGAAGGAACCTATCATTTTGCTTCAGCGTCTTCAGGTTGAAGAAATTTTTTAAGGTTAAGAAATCTGCTTGTCGTACTTGCTAATTATCTCTTATGAAGGATGTGATCATAGCGTGTTTAGCACCATCTCATCTATGTTTGTGGTTTCTGAATTTGTGGTTGCTTGCCGAATCGGTTCTATTTTGAATCAGAAATGGTGAAGCTGACAGTATCACAAATCCCGTCCACACTCTACAACAAATCCAGCAGGCAGGAGCTTCTTGGTTTTTGACAGTGATAGGGGGATTTACTACAACTCAGCGTGAGTATTCAGCTTTACATCAGATGCCGAATTTTCGCCCACAGGTGTGCTACATCCCACTTTTCTTGCTATCCCTTATATTGGGAATGTAAAGGCCCGTTTTATTACAGCTTCTGCACGTAAGTCGTAGGAATGCTAATTATGGGTCTTCCTGCTCCCTAGGTAGTCATGTTGACAACAATCAAAACTGAGCAAGTCCTTGACCTGATTTTAATTATCATCTAATACCGATGCTGCTAATTATCTTGACAGATGATGAATGCTATACTTCATCCTAAGGCAGAGTTGTTCCCAGGATATGCTGATACAGCGCCTCCTCCTATGCCAGACTGCTTTACAGCTCCATTTATACATCACTTACACAGTGGTTTCAATGTTCCTCAACTTGCGGCAATTCAATGGGCAGCTGCACATACTGCAGCTGGGACCTCAGAAGTTAGTAGCAACTCTTCTGGTGGTCAGCCATGGCCCTTTACGCTTGTACAAGGACCTCCTGGAACAGGAAAGACTCATACTGTGTGGGGTATGTTAAACGTTATTCATTTAGTTCAATATCAGCGCTATTATACAGCTCTTTTAAAGAAACTTGCTCCGGGTAGCGTGTCTTCTGAAGAGTCTTCGTTGTCTAATGGTGGAGATCATTACGGTGATGGTGGAGGGACCATTGACGAAGTTTTACAGAAAATGGATCATAATTTAGCGCGGGTTCTTCCAAAATTGTGTCCCAAGCCACGTATGTTGGTATGTGCCCCATCTAATGCCGCTACGGATGAGCTTCTATCAAGAGTGCTAGATCGGGGTTTCATTGATGGAGAAATGAAACACTACAAGCCAGATGTGGCTCGCGTCGGGGTGGATACAGCTTCACGTGCCGCACAAGCGGTCTCTGTGGAACGCAGGACTGAACAACTCCTGGCTATGGAGCAACCACATCTGATGCGTTGGCTTCAGCAATTGCGCAACAAGGAGGTCACCCTTGGTCAAACTGTGATGAGTCTTCAAAAAGATCTTATCGATGCGGCTGCCATGGCACGAAGTCAGGTATGGTTCTCTCTATGTCATATTGTAAGACAATTCTGTTATGTCCTCCTCGCTTCTGTCGCTTTTTTGACATCTTCTATTCGCCTTCTTCTTGACATGATACTTCACTATTGACAGGGTAATGTGGGAGTTGATCCGGAGGTTTTGGCATTCCGTGACCAAATGCGAGATGGTAAACTGCAGCAGTTGGCAGCAGTAGTAGAAGAACGGGATAAAGTATTGGTGGAAATGTCACGTCTTTTTATCATTGAGGGCAAGTTTAGACCAGGGAGCAATTTCAGAAATGAAGATGCACGAAGAAAACTTGAAGCCAGTTTTGCTAATGAAGCCGAGATCGTCTTTACTACCGTTTCCAGTAGTGGGCGGAAAATTTTCTCTCAACTTTCTCATGGGTTTGATATGGTGGTCATTGATGAGGCTGCCCAAGCCAGTGAGGTTGCAGTCCTACCTCCTCTCAGTTTACGAGCAGCCCGATGTGTCCTTGTTGGCGATCCCCAGCAGCTTCCAGCGACTGTGATCAGTCGTGCTGCCGACACAATGAAGTATAGTCGTAGTCTGTTCGAGCGCTTCCAGCAAGCGGGGTGTCCAGCTATACTTCTCTCTGTACAGTATCGCATGCATCCTCAAATTCGAGATTTTCCATCCCGTTATTTCTATCAAGGCAGGTTAGTTGATAGCGAAAGCGTTAAGGCTTTGTCGGAGGAGGTGTACCACAAGGACCCACTTCTGCAGCCTTATCTTTTCTTTGATATAAGTTTGGGTAGAGAATCACATGCAGGTTCTGTGTCTTATCAAAACAAGATGGAGGCCCAAGTAGCCGTTCACCTCTATCAACACTTGCAGAAAACACTTGCTGATGAGGCCGGAGGTGGTCCTCCTGCAAATGTTTCAGTTGGTATAATTACCCCTTACAAGCAGCAGCTGCAGTGTCTGGAGAAGGAGTTTGTCGCCCTCATTGGATCAAACGCTGCCAGTAACGGTGTTTACATCAATACCGTTGATGCGTTCCAAGGACAAGAACGTGACGTTATAATGATGTCCTGCGTTCGGGCTTCTAGTTATGGAGTTGGTTTTGTTGCTGACATACGACGGATGAATGTTGCTCTTACTCGAGCTCGACGGTCGTTGTGGGTAAGTTGATTAAAGTAATACATTTGGAACTCGTATGTTAGGTTGTGAGTACTTTCATCTTCGATTTTTGTTAGGTATTTCCTGAAATGTTTTAGATCATTGTATAACGCTTTTTTCACGTAATGTTTTGATTGCAGGTGATAGGGAATGCCTCAGCTCTTGCACAATCGGAAGATTGGGCAGCGTTGTTGGCAGATGCTAAAGATAGGAGATGTTTCGTCAGCTCCACTACCTGTATCCAGAGAGGACTTCTGCCAGAGCCCGTAGCTGGACCTCCTATGGGAAGCTCTGGCATCTTGCACCCTCGTCCTGGCGGTCTCATGAGTAGAGGTCGTGGCATGAGTGGTCCTCACGGTGGGCGTCATTCCTCTTCAGGTGATGACAAATTCCAGCTTTTCTTGTACATCTATCACTTTTCAAGCTCCGCTAGTTTTCCCCTATTTGTAAATGAACGCGATGTGTCGGATACTAGCATGCATGCTCACCTTTGCTGAAGAGAAATCTTTAGGAAGGTAGCGTTATGGAAGTAGGTGGCAACAGATGGAGATCTTACAGTAGAGATTCAGAGTACATGGATATTAGTTCACTATGCTGATGTCTACGTGTGTCATCGCCGTCCTCGTCATTTTGCTGACGTCTATGTGAAGCATGCTAAGCTTGTGCTGATATAAAGAGAAATGTTACAGGTCGGCATCAGTACAACAATCATGCTGGGGAGGGGTCCCATTGGCGGGGTCGATCGAACAGTGGGGTGCAAGAGAGGGGACCTGATGGACGAGAACTGTGGCAGCGACCACCCTATGATAGATCATGTAGAGGACAGCGAGATGGCCCTCGTGCCCCCGGTTTTGGTCCGCAATTTCAGCATCCAAGCCGCAGGAATAAAGGGTTGTGACAGTACCATCTGGTTATCTAGAACTAAAAAACCAATTGATGCTGGCTTTTCCTTCTCCACATGAACTTGCAACCTAGCCTCGTTCATTGGCTCGAGATTTACGATCCGTTGTGCTTGAGGAGAATTTGCGCTTGGCACACGATTATGGCTCTGGTGAAAGATGCGGTGTCCATTGACTACAGCATGCAGTTTTATTGTATCATCAAATATTTGATACAGATATTCTGGCAAGGAGCCCTCTGCAGCCATTTTAAAGCTTCCGATTCTGGATGCCAGGAAACCAACTGGGAGATTAGTTTTCAACCAAGGGTCGCACCAAGCTTTTACAGCGTGAAATCAGATGACGCCTAGTTGAGTTGTGCCCTGCATGATTATTGTGGTGCCGTGGATTGGGAAATGGAGCATTGTAATGCCCAAGATCCCGGCGAAGGCTACGACAAAGATTTGTACAAACCAAGTAAAACAACGTTGTCACTACCAAGTTTTGGACATTCTTGGTAAGTAGTTTGTAAGTAAATGCCCGAGGTGTATCACACTAAGCAACTTTGTAGTACTATGCCGAGAGTGCTTTTAGTGTAGAGCGTCACAGCCTGAAATGCGTAGTCGATGGCAGTAAAATCTTTTTCATTAGAATCAGGTTCAGGTGGTTCCAAATAAAATACAGAGGTAAACATTATGTGGCTCACGGCTATGCGATCAACTAGGAATTCTTAACTCATGTTGATCCATTCTCTTGATAACCACTCTCAGAGGACATTCATTCTGATCTGTTCCGCAGGCATTCCTGGTATTTTCTTTCACACCCTTGATAATATAGGCAACATAATTAATCTTATACGTTCTTATTGTAAAGCTTGCCCATACGGTAAGCTTTTCTATGTGTAATTCGGGATACCAGTTGATCGCTAAGGTCAAACGTGTTTCTGACCTACATTACTGATGTTTGTATTATATCCTCAAATAGTAGGTGTAGAGTTAGCACTTGATATGGAAGCGATGATGTGTAGACCATTGTATATTTTATACTAGCAAAAGATAGATATATGTGATAACAACTTTAGTTCCATACCATCGTGTAACCAATTGGTTACTTATTCAATGCTGTTTGTCACAAATGTCTTTTGGATAATACAATGAAAAACTTTGGCATTTGTCAATTTTCCAACTCAGAACGGGTTCTCCAATTGCTTGTGTACTAACTCAACATTCCTGTGGTATATCGTAGCCCTCTGATGTCCCAGAGGTTACCCAAACCGAAGTTCAATTCTTTGTGAATCTATCAAAACATCTGTTCACTAACACTTCATATCTTACAAGTGGAGGCTCTCTTGCATGATGTCTCTGGGAAACTGCTACTTAGTATCTCTAGAGGCTATTTGGGGTAAGTTCTGAATAACCTTCAATTGTATAATTGGAGGCATAGTCTAATCCATTAATTCTGCTTACTGTAGGAAAAACCTGGTTATGGTTGCTAGATGAGAATTTGTGGGCCACAGAACTGGGATGTGAAATGGCGAAACCTAAATTATACTCCAAAAGTTTGAAGTTTACAGTTGAACAAAATATCATTTACTAAACGAAATCTGAACAGTCAAGAAGGATTACTGTCAATTCATCAAAAAAAATCTTTTCTGAAACCATGTGACGGTCAATCCTTGTCCTCTTCATATCCTCAAGCTTCATCTCGTAGGCAAAGGCAGCCCTCAATTTCAATCTCAGTGGCACGCAACTAATCACATCAGGAGGGGGACGAACCACAACAATGTCAATTTGATCACCAAAAGCTTGTTTGTTGTTTCAGTGATCCTATCTTCAACGCAGCAACTTCGCCGTCATGGGAACCTACTTGAAAGTTGTGAAGGAAGTTAGAGTGATAAAAGCTGAAGTAATTCGACATCATCCTGCCATGGTTGATGATCACCCTTTACATTATTGTGGTAAAATTATAGAAACAGACTGAGAATTATTATTCCCAAATCGACTTTGTAATTGCAGGTACAGTTGGATTATGTTGAATATCTCAGCGAGGAGCTTGATTGGCGAGTATGATAAACGAAGTAGGAGATGGTATGACATTTAAGAAGACCTTCGACAGAAGGAAATGACCACCTCGCAGTTGCACCACACAACGAAAGAAGTGTGGAGCCTGGGTTAAAGAGAATTCTGCTGCTCTCAGTTGAAACAAATTTTATGCTCTCAGGAAGTCTTGTTTCAACAATGTCATTTGATTGGATTGTAAATGAAAAACGTAGAGTTTTCGAAGCTTGGAATTAGAATATACTTGCTAGTGGCAGACAATGCCAGGTGGAGAATCTGTTTTTCTTCTCCACAATAAAACAAAGCGTCAGAATAAAAGTACTCAACTGAATCACTTCACCTTTAAATAAATGCACAATCACGACTATCTTTACCCAGCACATTTTCATCTCTAGAGAATCACCGATTTGGACTTTAAACTCTGGTTCAATCTCAAATGCCGAGTAGATACAACACACTCATGGCTGAAGTCCACTTAACAACGTCGTTAAGACTTGATGACCTCTCTTTGAAGCGTGCAGAGTGTTGCCTTGATGGCATTAGAACCCATAATCATCCATGAATTCATATTTATATCCAAGAAATCACCGACATTCCCTCAATACTTGAGCTCCTCCATTTCAGCCACAAACAAGAAATTGTTTAATGTGTGGCTTCCAATTTAGTGTTTTCTTTCGGCTGCAACTTCAGTTCAAAGATTTTGACATACCACAAATAGTTGAGGCCCAACCTCTAGTGAAGGGAGTTTATGCCCCAGAGGACTCCCATGACCATCACTACGTCGAGAAAGAAACCTGGAAAAAGATACGATGTAACGTACATGCTGGTAGTTGAATAAAAATACTCATATTCAACTACCAGCATGAATTCATGCAAGCACTGACTATGAGAAGTTCAAAACCTGTTGGACTCTTTTTGGCTGAAACCAACTTGCTTAATTCGGGAGCTGCTGCAGGTCACATTTTTTGAATAATATGCGGTAGGTCGTTTTCGAAGAAAAGATCAGGGCACAGTCTAAGCATTTAGCCTATGTATAATTAAGCACTCAACTGTTCAAATCCAAATACCAAACGAATTCATCTTCAGCCAAATGAAATTGACATAGTCTTTCCTGCACATGTGCATTATCTCGAAACCTAAGCTGCTCAACGGTTTTTGGAAGAATAGAATCGGCACCAACAAAAGCATAGAATCGAGTCCACGATCACTGAAAGATTCACCTTCTCCCTCATCCTCCTGATCATCGATTTCGTGGCGAAAAATTGCAATATACGATGAAGAAGTCCATTCGGGGCGTCAAAGAGAGCCAAAAGGTGCAAAATCGTAATAGAGAATTCCTATGGCTGCAATGGATCCAGAAGAGTGCGTCTATAGAAATACTCAAGGAACAAAAACTACCCGCTTGCTCTGAATGTCACCATTAGAAACTATTGCCAGCAATGATTGAAGCAAAAAGGCTTGGAGACAGCTCCGACACATTCAATGACCTCAGCAATGCAGAAGTGCATGCTTTACGCCCAGTCATATTTGCTGTTGGATCACCTTCAAGACGTCATGTTGTCAACTACTTTCCGGTAAGTTCGATATAGATGTTGGAACTATAATAACATTTTTTTGTCACCTATCACATCCATCCATGAGTGAAGTCCATAAATAGATATAGTTTGAATTAGATGTGAGCATAGAAAACCAAGTGTTGCAATGAAAGTTCTTTTGTATAGCTCAATATTGTCTACAACATGCAAACATACAAGTTTAACTTGATCATAGACTTTCTTCAACACATAATGAGAGATTAGTCAATTAACAACTTGAAAGATTTCACTTCATGAAGTTAGATTAGTGAATAACAAAATGTGCATCTTTTCACAAGAAAATTGTGCCACATACTCCTTGTGTATATTCTTGATGCAAAACTCTACATGCTTGCATATACCAAGAAAATCAAATTTTCTTGACCCGAGATATTGGTTGAGAGTGTAATGCATGCCTTCTAATGTTGAAGACATAGAATTGCCAAAGTGGTAAAACTTGGTTGTCTAAGCAATAAAAAACATCTCCTTGTATACATCAATTCATATATTTTTAATATACGTAATTTCCTTGGAAAAATTGATATTTCAAATCTTCACAAAGATAGTACATAAGGCTTCAAACTTGTCATTAGAATTTCCTTAAAAAAATTGATATTCCAAAAAATACAAAAATTAGGCCATGATGATGTAGAGTATATTTGAAAAAGAAGATCCATATAATTTTATTAAACCCAATACTAATTCTTCTACTTACAATGACAACATAGAGATGGGAGTAGGAGTAGTAGACATCACTACTATATTACGAGTGTTCAATGTCAACTGCAAATGGAAGCGAAGGACAAAGGCTATTTTTTACAACTTTTCCTTATTCCAAACATATACCATACTATCCTTGATATTAAAGATCCTAAAATTTCCTAGAACCACCTCAAGAACAAACACAATTTTTGACACCATAGTTATATTCAATTAATGAAAATACTTGCAAATGAACAAATACCAAGTTTTTACTTCTTTTATGCAATATGTTAACAATGTTATTAGGAATCCGAAAGCCATAAATTTGATGCAACTTCTAATAGCCATAGTATATAAAATTTTATATTGTTTACTAAATAGTATTGAAAAAATAAAAATTTACATGTAAAATGAAAAAACTTATCATCTTTAGAAGAATCATAGAATTGTTTGTATATAGAAGAACTAATGCAATTCTCAAAAAATTCTACAAACTTATCAACAAAGCCTTCATTATATGGATTCAAAATATCTATTACAACAAACTTTAGCAAAGTCACCTACATCACCAAAGATGTAATTGACATGGATCAAATAGTCTTTAAAGATTCTACTATCACCAATAAAGACCATTGTAAAGAATATTCATCTATTGTTGATGCGGTGTCGTGTTGTAACACGACTATATGGTGAAAATATAAATGAAAAATATTTTATTAATATTTAGTCATCTTGGATGTTAGGAACAGTGGCCAATTCCAGTGCCAATATTCAGGGGCCAATTAATGTCACCCCATTGCAAGTTATACCACCGTACGTGACATCAGTAATATGCTCTATCAACATCATTGAACTAAGTATCCTCTGTACCAACGGGACAACCAGGATCATTTTCTAATCCTAAATGGAACAAGCCTAGTAGGTATATACCAATGGAGACACCCAATATGCTTGATGGGGGTGCAAGAAGACCACTTCGTTGTTTTCGTTGCAGATAGATTGATCATTATGCTAGTGAATGTCCTAATCCTAGAGCTAGTGACGATTACACGTAAGTGTGTGGAAATTGCAAACAGTCGGGGCATACTTATCAGCAATGTAATGCTCCGTTCAATTTCAAAAATCGGGATCAGCAGATCCAAAGCCAAGGAAAAATTGAGGAGATAAATCGAGGTCCTCAAGATACTCCAATAAATTGGATGAAATGTGTCCAAGCCGTTCTTACTAAGAGTCGAAAAAAAGAAAAAGGACCAATTCAACATTTGGGTGAGCCTGATGCGAAGGGCCAATTTGACCCAATTATGGGGACATCTAATCTAGGTCCTGTTATGGGCCTCTTATCTAGTATGAGATTTGACTCGGTTGGGCAACCCAATGAGGTCTCGATTATGGAGGCTTCGGTTCCATTTTAAAGCTGTTCCAATTCCGAGTCCAGGGCAGAAGAATAGGGGACCTCATAGAGTTAAAGGAAAAGAGAGGAAAAAGAAGAGGGCATTCGGAGATCGGGATTTTGGAGTCGAAGAACTAACTTCAAGCTCCTTTGAAAGGTATAGGACTTGGTTTCATAGGATTTGGAAGGACTTTGCAATCGTTGCTCAAAGTCAGTGTTTGTATTGGTGAATTGGATTTTTTGCAATAAAATTAAGGCTAGTACTCTTGACTGTTTTGTGAAATTAGAAAAACATTTGCAGTTGAAATTTTAGAGATGTCTAGATGGTTGAGTATGCCAAGTACATGCAATTTTTTTTGTTAATCTAACGATATGCATAGAGGATATTTGATCATTAGTGTAAAGAGGTATCAGAAGTTGGCATATTGGAGTTGTTTAGGGTTTTTGTAATATTTGGAGATCTATC